TTTTTTTTTTTTTTTTTTTTTTTTTGGTTGTTCTTTTTTTTTTTTCGATTTCCGAAGAGAAGCATAAAAGAAAACACAATGGGACCCGAGAGCGTAGCTCAGTGGGTACACCCATGAACTGTCTAAGTACAGACTCGAGTTCAAATCCTGATGACGGAACCTGATGAGTAAAAGCAAATATGTATGAATTGCCTGGGGCGGGTCAGCTCAATGATGATATCTCAAGGCCGTTGCTCAAAAAAAAAAAAGAAATAGAAAATCCAAAATAGAAGGAAAAAAAAGGGAAAATTTCAAAAAAAAAAAGGCTCCGCAACTTTCGGTGCGCAGTGAAATTCAGGGTTGGCAAAAACAGGCTGGGAGGTACTAGTGGTTTAAGAACAGAAAAAAAAAGGAAAAAACGTCAAAGAGGAAAGAGTTACTGTGGAGGATTCAGCATTTAAATGGAGTAACCTTACCAAAAGAAAAAAGTTAAAAGTAGGGGCCAGCGGCCTAGCTCAGTTGGTAGAGGACGAAAGCTGCATTCAGGAGGTCGTGGGTTCAATTCCCCATGCCTTCCTTTCAAATCCCCACGGCCTCCTGTGGCGCGCTGCAGCTTCACCAGCTGAGATAGTCAGCTCGCCCCCCGTAGTTGGTTAGGGAGGGACTTAATCTGGGATTCCTCCCATCCGTTGCTAGGGGTTAGGTTCAGCCCTGAGGGGATAGGCTCAACCCTCAGGGGAATGCTCAACCTAGAAGGGATAGGATAGGTAGGCTAGGATAACCTGGGGAGAAACGTACTAACCCATAACCCTGAGTGCATGTTGATGCCTGTGCATAGAAGTGGTTCTTTGTCTAGGTCCGTTGGTCCCTTGTCTGGTGCCGGGTTGTTTAGGGTTGCTTTGGGATGGTAGTTTGCTCGTCCGGTGCATGTTGATGCCTGTGCATAGAAGTGGTTCTTTGTCTAGGCCCGTCGGTCCCTTGTCTGGTGCCGGGTTGTCTAGGGTTGCTGTCCCGGGTTGCCTTCGGATGGTAGGTTGCGTGTCGGGTTGCCGTGGGGTGGTGGACTGATTGGTCCCCATGCTAGATATGTGAGTGGGTAAAAACGTTGGTAGGCAAGGTAGCTAGTGTGAGAAAGCTGCGATATTGAGAGAAGTAAATAGGGTAGGAAAAATACAGCTGTCCCCCAAATGAGGAGAAGGCAGACTGTATTCTCTTTTGAAAAAAAAAAAGAAAAAAAAAAGAAGAAAGTTAAAACTTAAAAGTGATTCAGGTTTCACGTTTCGTTGCTCTCCAAGCTCCAATCCAAATCGCTGAAATTAAACGAATTGCTCACTCCAGGAATAAAACCCTCAACCTGCTGTACTCGAAGCATAACATTTACCAAACGGCAAAACAAACTGGGATGAAACTAAAGTCCGCAGATTGAAATTTCAGCCCACCCCAGCATCGTTAGTACAACACATACCACCATGACCCAGTGTACCCAGACTCCACTCCAGCCAAATGGCCCCTAAGCTTTAGCCCAGGGGTTTCACATGCCGACCAAACCGGGTACAACCATCCCGGCAGCTGAAGACAAGTTGCGTGAAAGCATGTTTCGTTGCTCTCCAAGCTCCAATCCAAATCGCTGAAATTAAACGAATCGCTCACTCAAGGAATCGAACCCTGAATCTGCTGCACTCAAAGCAGACACTGAGTTGGAAGAGGATTTGGTTGTCAGCTGGGGGGGGATGATGTTGCTTCTACCCCCTCTCCCCCTGCCCCCCTCATACATTCAACATGCCTGTGCATCCCAGAGCAGTGTTCTATGCCCTCTCTGAAGCTGAGACTCTGTTCTTTTTGTTTCTTGTGTTCTAGCTCAAGTACATATTGCATAGTATTATGGTATAGTGATATTAACTTATTAAGTGAATAATTACATGGTGCAAATGTTATCTATCTCAACCACTCTATGATGGGGGGCGGTTGCCAATTTTGCAGGTCCCATCTACTAAAAGCCTTCTCGAGAAATGGCTTTTCAAATCCTCGGGTGAGGATGGTGTGGACGACAAACTGAGCGCTGAACTGAAGGCTACAGAGACTGCTGACATTTCCGCTGCAAAAGATCAAGGGACGGCGTACCTCAGCCCTCCTGACAATGGCTCCACGAAGCGAACGAGTTTGCAGAAATCGAAAAGGCGGCGTAGCCTTGGAAGCAGCGTCAAGGTAAAGTGGAACTTGACTCTTGCCAGTATTGAGTACATAGTACACAGGGACAGGCTGCAAGTGTAGTGCACACAGGCAGACTGCAAGTTGAGTGCTGGACTTAATGCCGCAGAGACATAACCGAACCACAGTTCAGGCCGGATGAATGCCAGAGAGACAGGAAAGTGTTTTGGGTATGGCAAGTAGAGTACACACAGCCAGACTGGCAGTTGAGTTCACAGAGGCAAGCAGCACATTGTGTACACAGAGGTGTGTTGTGTACTATTGTCTTCTGCCGAACAGAGCTCCCGGTCATTATACAAGCTGTATTTGGGGCAACTGTCAGTCTTAGATACCGCGATAATGACCGGGCGTTGTTTTCGGATGAAGACGGTAGTCTGCAGCAGTTTCACTGGTCTGCACATACATGCATGTTGAGTGCAGTAGTCTTCAACTGAGCACAAAGAGGCAGACTGCACAAACAGGCAGATTGCAACTTGAGTGCAGAACAGCAGACTGCGGTACCGACGAGTTCCCGTGACTGTTGTGAAAGCAAGCAGGAAAAAGCATCATCGACTCTGTGCACATCTGCACGCCTATCTTCTTGCAATTTTTTTCTCGTTCCTTCTTCTTCTTCTTCTTCTCCTCCTTCAGCTGCTCTTCCTTCTCACGCGTTACACGCTCTTGTGCTTCTTTATTTTCACAGTCTTTAGTGCTTTCTGCATCGCGTCGTACCATAATCTTTGACACTTTGTCCTCCAGACTGCCGTGCCGTTTTTGAGTCTGATGCCATCCGTTTCCTCTGCCATACTGACCATAGTTGGGATTAGGATTTGAGAACTGTACGCACAGGCAGATTGAGAGTTGAGTACACAACAGCAGATGACTGCATCGCTGATTTGTGGTGACCGTTGTGAAAGCATGCAGGAAGAGTGTAGGACACTCTGTACACAAGAGGAGAGTCTGCATAAACCACACACAAGGTTTTCTCAGTTCAAAACTTCACGGGAAAATAATTCTTAAATAAATTAGTTCAAACAACTTACATCAGGAGAGATTCATGCCTCAGGCAAGAATGGATTTATCATTTGTTGTGGTGTGTGGTCCATCCTTGCAATCTCTTGTAATCAAGTGGATGAAAAGTTGAAAACAAGTCTTGTCAGCGTAACAAATTTTCTCAACATTTTGGTTCATCTGTGTTTTCAAGGGAGAAAGATTCAAGTGCAGTCTGCGTCAAGTCAAAAGTTGTTGCAAAATTGCGAGGAGGTGTCAACATGTGTGCACTTTGTGCTGCAGGACATATTCTCTACATGTTTAATGTTTATATATCAGTGCAATCAGACTCGCTTTCACTTCCACTTCACATAGATGCAAACAGATGGAGATTCACACTGGCGCAGGGCACCCACTCAAAGCTTAGAGATATGGAAATCAAGAACACAGTTCAGATGCAAGTTCACTTCAACAGGCTATGGCGCATCGGCGCCTGAACATCCCAACCTTCGTCACTGTGTCCAACCCCACTGTTCACACGCGCTCACTCTTGATCACCCTGAATACCACCACACACACACACTTAGTCTTACTTCCTCCTACAGCGGCTATGGCCGCACTACCACTACTGACTATGGCTACGATCTCCCTTCAGCCCMCTTCGTSTTCGGGCAACCTGCAGACCRCCTTCGCACAARRCGCTGTAGCAGCACTTCCGCATGGCTTACGCAGCGAATGAATGAATGGCTGGACGCTGCTTCCTGATTTATACTTCTGTTCGTGGCTGGTCTGCCCTTTTCCACCGGCCCCTTGGTGCACACAGTCCCACGTGGTACTTGCTGACTGTACTAGGGGAGACTGGGACTGGGTACCGCTGACTGCATGGGATGGTACCGCCGACTCAGTGCAGTCGCACTGCTTACTCCGTGCAGTGGGTTTACCACTTGCTCACTTGCCTCTGGTCTGCTGTGGGCAATCTTCGAAAGGAAGGCCACTTCCGGACCTTCCGGAAGGCTGTGGACTTGGCCTTTCGAAACTGTATCAGCTACGACCTTGACCTTTCAAGAATGTAGCAGCTACGACATTGACCCTTCAGGACTCCTACAGCTACGACCTCTACTATAAACTTTGACCCCTACGCGACAGATCTACGGTTCAAGACCCGACGGACACACATGTCTCCAACAGACTACTATTGGCTCCTAAAACACAGGTTACGGGTTCAAACACACACAGGGGTACTGTACACAGGTAGTGAGGTCCAGGGATCGAGCCCTGGGATCTACACCCGCTACTGAAAAAGGGTGAAAACCGTTTCATCAGCCTCCGGTGGCTGCAGTGTGCCAAGCCATGCTATCGTGTCTGCGAGCGAAAGAAAATAAAAGAAAGCAAATGTACTCTCTCAACTGGACATTGCGGCTCATGGCGCTCAGAAAGAAAAAGTGGTGGTGACCTCTTGGAAAGAGAGAGAGAGGCGGTGCATGGCTTGGTTTGCAGAGAAAATATATTGGACCTGTAATTGACCAGACTCGAACCTGACCACAAACGTGGTCGTATAGACGAATCGTAGGAACGTTGGAGTGGTGCGTACTCATTTCTTGTGCTTGTTGCATGCAAGGCGGCATTGCGCTTTGTGTGGACCCCGGGTCGGTAGGCGCCAGGCGCTAAATTACAGAGATGTGGCCTGCCTTGCACTCTGATGATCATTGTCTATTTGTTGGGAACTTGGGATGGATTGAGGATGATTTGGGGGGAATTCCGATAACACACATGGGCCCTCACACACACACACACACAGATTGGGCACCTGGAATCGACTGCACTGGCACATGCACACATCATTGGGTCCTCTTTTTCAACTTCCCATGTACACTGGTGGTTTTCAGTTATTCGTTTCGACGAATTCAACTGCTTTTTTTTTTTTTTTTTTTTTTTTTGTTTCTTTGCATCGTTTCTCTCCCCCATAAGAATGATGTCAAACTTTCTACCACCATCTGTGAACAATCTTACGACATCTCAGGACAAAAGCGGGAGCTCAAAGCGGGGCAGAAAGGAGCAAGGGAAATCAGTTGTCCGTCGAGTTCAACGCCGGAAGGTATTCTTTCATCTCCCTTCCTCCCATCACCTCATTATGAGTTTTATCAACACAAGGGTTCCTTGAATAAAGTAAAATAAAAATGGATATACTCAGGAATTTTTAGCCATTGTTAGTCTCACAAGCTCTTCCCAGGCACATAGTTGTCCCTTTTTTTCCTCCGGTCCTCAAATGTTGTATCCTGGTTGCACAGCAGTTGCCCCACGATTGCAGTTCCGCCTAGGAAGTAATGAGCTACTCCAAGCGCACATCCTTGTGCAATATACTTGAAGGCCCTAGGCTGAATGACAGGAGCACTGTTTTCATCAGTCTCCGTTTCGCTTCATGCGTTATAACCACACGCTGCCTGGATCGGCGCATGTGTTACAACCACACACCGGCTGGACCAGTGCATGCATTATAACCCCATGCCGGCAACTTCCACCTAGACTTCTATTAGGAGTATCATGGGCACGTACACCAGCATTTCAGGATCGACTTTGTTTTGCTGTGGTGGGGCACTTGCTTAAACCTCCAGTACGTTTCACACCCATTTTTTGAAGTCGCAGCTTGCATGCTGCCGCAACTTTCGGGGCTCTGCCACAGGAGCAAATTGGCTGGTGGCGCCAGCCAAAAGTACTGTTCGTTTTTTTTTGGCCTGCAGCGCATTTCCAGCCCCGAAGAAAAGTGCCTCGGAAGTACTGGTGGTTTAAGTATCATGAGTTTATTGTATGGTGATGCTGGATCACTGATACGGATGGATCCGGATCCACCACACCAATGACAGGGAAAATTCAGGTGCCTGAATTTCTGGACCTGTCATGTTCATCCCAGCTGGGCTTTCAGATCTCTCTCCTCCGCATCTTCTCTTTCTTCAGTGTTCTATCTTCTTCTTCTTCTTCTTCTTCTCTCTCTCTCTCTCTCTCTCTCTCTCTCTCTCTCTCTCTCTCTCTCT